TGTTTTGATCGGTATAATTCAATTTTATTGTTTCCTTTCATTGCTTTCTCCTTGTATCTTGAACAATCTGAATGCAAGTAGCAAAATGCTTTTGGCAAAATACTTTTTTTTTTTTTTTTGAGTCAGATAGATAGATGTTCTGATGTATTAATCAAAAGAATGGAATGATATTCATTTATTGTGCATATAACATGTACATATGCACAAATTTCATAGCATTTTAACGGCCCTCCATTTGGAACTGATAAATGTTACAATGGTAAATCATGACTGAACAAATTGAAACGGGTTTCTCCTAATTTAAATTTTAATGAGTAGAAAGTTGGAGAGTAACAATGAACTAATTGAATTCTTGTGATGTAGACATATGTTTTAGAATTAATATATATGTTAAAAAGAACTGGCTAGCTTCATGGTTTTATTTTTTTTTTCATTGTGTCACAGGGATACTGTTCCATCTCTTTCTCTGACTTGGCCAAACTGACTTTTCAACTTTTATTCAATTTTCTAAGCCTTTTATTTTGATGTTGTGGCTTTTTTTTCTCTGACAAGAGCTGAACTACAAAGTAGCCAATCACAGTTTAACTTAGAAAAGTCAAGTAATTAGCTTGCATGTATGGACAATAGACCTCTAACTAATTGGATTTGGAAGCCAAAGGTGAGAACGTAGCATGTTTCTGCAAACTTTTTAACGCAGCCGCATTTTCTCTTAGGAAAGGACACGGTTGCCTTAAAAGGTTATAGTAGCTGCAATACAGGTAGTCCTTGACTTACGACTGCAATTGAGCCCACAATTTTCTGTTTCTAAGTGAGACATTTGATAAGTGAGTTTTGTCCCATTTTACATCATAAATACGAGTTAGTTGTCAGGCGTCTGAGTTTTGATCACGTGACTGTGAGGACACTGCGATGGTCGTAAGTATGAAAAATGGTCATAAGTCACTTTTTCCAGTGCCATTGTAAATTTGAATGGACATTAAATGAATCATTGTAAGTTGAGGGTCATCTCTATTCACACCTTCTGACATCCAAAGCATTTATTTGCCCAGGCTGAATGTCCAACTTCTATGTTTTTTCCCCCCACTGAAATTAATGCAAAACCCAGAAAGTAAGAAATTAGATTCATGGTGATCAGAAAACATGTTTAGAACAGAATAAATTAACAGGAGGCATCGAAATATATACATATATACACATACACATACATACACATACATGTAAAACTTGGTTCTAATGGAAATAGAACATGGCAGATAACTTTTAAAAAAATATGTGGTCTCAATTCCATAACAGGATCCAAGAATTCAGCTAGCAAGGTGGTAATAATGTTTTTAGTTTCTTCTTAAAGTTGTCCCAACCTACCAAGCTTTTGTGATGGCTTTAAATTACTGTTAACTGTATTGGGTTATACACAGGGCTGGGATGCTACCGGTTTGCACAGGTTCAGGCGAACCGGTTGTTAATTTTATGGCCAGTTTGGTGAACCAGCAAATCCCACACCTGGCTGGCCCCATCCACCCTGCCCCACTTTTTCAGCCCATTTTGGATCACAGGTAAGTGCAAGGTCTATGTGGAGCCTGAGGAAGGCAATAACAGCTTCCCAGAGGCTCAAGAAAAGCCTCCAGCGCCAGGGGAGGTGAAAAACAGGCCTTCTGGGAGTTCCAGAAGGCTGGAAACAGGCCCGTTGCCGGCCTCCAGAGCCCAGGGAGGGTGAAAATGCCCCCCGTGGCCCATTTTTTGCTCCCAGGGTGGTGCAGGGGGCCAACTAGGCCATGCCCACCATGGTCGCACCCACCCAGCAACCGGGCAGAGAACCGGTTGTTAAATTATTTGAAGCCCATCCTTGGTTATATAAATAGATAATTTTATTTGTATAACCGGGGATGGGCTTCAAATAATTTAACGATTATCTGTATATCCACTAGCTGGAAGCCAAGACAAAGAGAAGCTGCCATTGTGTGTTTTCCCAGACCAAAAAAAAAATGGGCTCTTTATAAAATCCAGCATCTCTTGTGAGCTTTTATGGTAGATTTAGGGAAATCCACCAAACAGATTTTTTTAAAATGTATTTATGGGCAACGGGTTATAACAACACCCCAACGCCAGCTGCTCAAGATTATGATTCCTTCAAATTTCATATCCCTGATGAACAAAATTCTGATGGAAATGAAAATGTTTTTGAAATTGGTAAAATTGTCTTAAGGTGGGAACAAAAACAAAAATTGGAGTGATTTCTCCTGTGGTCTTTTGTAACAAAAATAATTTCTGCTGCACCATTATTAATCCAGAGAAAGGTAGACTCTTATTTCATCTGATATATCCTCCAGGTTATTTACAAAGCAATAGCTGGTTTTTCGAGACATCCCTAGTTTTAATTTACTCATTTCTGATGCAGAATTGTAAAAGAAGGTACGCAAAACAATTTCAGTACCTTGTAAGGCACTAATTTCTGATGTGAGAGGGGGCAGCTAGGCTGCTACAATGATTAAGGCCAGAGAGAGGAAGGACAGAATCCTTGGGTGGAGATGAGGACGCAATGCTGTGTTCTGGTTGCTGAAAATCCCTTTATACCACAATGCAATGGGGAAATGCAACAGGGAGGCTTAATCTGGGATAAATCAGGCTGAGGATGATGTGTTTAGATGCTCCCCATGAAAATAGAGTTGGCTTGTGTTCCTACAACAAGCTAATTCAAGCTGCAATCTTTGGTCCTTCAGAGAGCATTTCTGGAGTTACAAGGTGTGTTTGTGTGTGTTTGCATTGATTTCCTTTCCAAAGGAGGGGTAAAAGCTTTATAGGCACATCACTCGCATTCCCTGCTCCGCCCACTTGTACGATCTATGGGGCAGTCACATCTGAGCTGCAAAAATGGAGTCGGCCACCAGAGGGTAGCAAAGGGGTTGCTGTAACTCGTGGCCACCCGCAAACAATCCTTTGCAGGTTTGCAGTCCGGGTCCGCAAGCCAAAGAGGTATTCTGAGAGTTGATCAAGAAGTCTGCCGAGACTCCGTGGACTCTCTCCAGGTCAACCCCAACTCCAAGCAATTTTCTTGTTAAAAATATAGATGTGATTGAGAACGTGGACTGCCACCTTTGGGGGCATTTTTGAACCTCTCCAACTAGCTTCCAGTCCAAGGATTTTGTACTCCCATCCAAGGTAGCAAAAAATGTTTCTCAAGGAGGGTGTAGATGCCACCAAGTGCTTGCGGGTGGTGGTGGGGAGATCTGTATTTTTTTAATCTCGAGAAAGGAGAGATTAATAATTCCTTTCTCCCTACTTTTGCTCTGCCAGCAGAGCTTTCTCAGAATTGGATCTTTTCTCTTTTTTTTCAATCTTCCTCTTTTTCAAAGAAGTTTTGCAGTTTCCCTCACTCCATCATGGCCTACCCACATATTCATAAAGGTCCCCTCTGGTCCTTCAAAGAGACTTTCTTGGGACTGCGGTCCCTGTAAAAGGAGCAGGAGATGAGAAATGTTCCTTTTGTGTACTTCCTTAAGTCGCCTTGCTTTAGCAAACCAAAGTCAATGGAAACCCCTGTTGTCTGGGGAGAAGAAAGATTTAGCTTAGTCTTTTTGTACCACACTTTCCCACCTTGGTTTTGTTTTCTACACAGTTCCTTGAACAAGCCGCCAACGCAATATCTTTGTCTTTAGGGTTAGATTCTGGGCAAAAATTGATTGATTTTGTTGGCTGTTTAAAGTAAGGCTGTGCAGAGCCTTTGAAGAAGCTGCTCTGGAACCTCTAAGCCTTTTAAAGCAGCCACCTCTTTGTCCAAATTTCCCCACAGCTAGGATAAGACAAGTCAAGATGGCATCCATGATGGAGCAATTGAAACTCTGCCCTTTGTTATGCGTTATGCACATATGGCTTCTATCACTTGTCTGTGATCACCATACTGAATTTTCTTTAAACCACTTTCTTTAAAGCATACCAGAGTATGCTTCCAGATTATGCTTTTCCACTTCATTGAGGATGGTGGTGTGGGAGGGAGGAAATCTACGTAGCTGTGTGCACCCATGCAGGTAGATTCCTAAGCAACGACAATTCTTGTGGAGGTGGGAATGGCCAACGTAAGAATTTGGGGGGGGGCGGGAAGGGCGGGGGGGAAGCAGCTTTGCACATTTCCCAAAAGGATTTGCACATCCATAGTGTTAGGTAAAAAAGAAAAGCACCCCCCCCCCCCAAAGATCACTGGAGGAAAATAAATAAATACAGCGGAACACAAAATAAAAAAACGGGATGAATTCTGCAAGAGCGGCAGTATGAAATCTATTGCAGCAAAACAATGACTCATCCAGGGCAGCCTGGAAACAAACAAATTTTTACCCTTTTTGAATTTCTCTAGGCAAATATCTCCTTTGCTAGATTCAACCCAGGGGGATATATAGCTAGAAACGTGGTGGTAGAGAAGAAGCACGCGTATCGGAATATCCGTTCGTTTAAAATGGGTGTGTCATATGAGAAAGGCTCCGTGCTTAAGTTTCGTAGTTAAGCAACCCGGGGTAATCCTGGAATCAACTCGGTTGCCTCTTTGGGTCAGTTGGTTTCCAGATGCTCCTCACCGTTGAAGTGCCAGGCACATGCGAGGCCACGATGCATCCGCTCTTCACCAGGAAGTGCCAGGCACATGCGAGACCCAAGGAATGAGAGGGTACTGACTCCCTGGCACAGTGTACATGTACAGTATTGGGTAGAAATCATCACGCATGAAAATAAAGATCTTGACGGGCCTCTGAGAAGACATCACTACGGATTCTCCTTCCCCACAGTCCGTTTCATCTCTGAGACCAGGGCCCTGCCCTTGTTTTGGAGTTTAAAAAAAGAAAAGAAAAAGACAAAAAAAAAACCCTTCGTTAAGTGCCTTAAAGTTGATATTATCGAGCCCAATTTTGTATTTTCAGTCGTTCAAAAAAGGTATCGTATAGATATATACAAAACTGACCCCAACCAGCGAGGCCTCCTTTTCGCAAACCAAACCTTTCAGGATTTTCTTTAAAAAAAAAAAAAAATACCAGTGTTTGTTTGTAGAATGTGCTTTAAAATCCAAAAGTCCCAATTCTCAGGCTCGGTTGAGGAGCGTTGTCCTAAAAACGAAAAGATAAAAGGTTACTATCAGGGGTCTTCTCTTACATGGCAGTAGCTAAAAAAGCGAATGCGATCCTTGGTTGTATGAGCAGAGGCATAGAATAAAAATCTTGAATACTCCTTTAGAAAACCTTACGAAGACCACACCTGAAATCCTGCATCCAGTTTTGGTCATCACATTACAAAAAAACAACATTACCATTCCTGACAAATGGGTGTCCAGTCCCTTCTTTAAAATGTGATGCAGAAGTGATGCAGGACCCACAATTTCTGGAGGGAAACTGTCCCACAAATTAAGTTATCTCAGGATGTCAGGAAATTTCTCCTTAATTCCAGGTTGCTTCTCTCCTTGGTTAGTTTCCATCCATTATCTCTTGTCCTGCCTTTTGGTGCTTTGGAAAATAGGTTGACACATACACACACACCCTCTTCTTTGGGGCAGCCCCTCAAATAATGGAAAACTGGTATCATGTCATCCCTATCCCTTCTCTTTGTTCAACGGGATATACCCAAACCCTGCAACTGTTCTTCATATGTTTTCGTCCCCCAGTTGCCTAATTGTGAAATTGTGTGCTTCCCTTTGTACAAGGAACACTGAAATTGTCCTAGTATTCTGATTTCTAAAGATGACTTGCCAGCCAGCCCTCAAAAACATATGCTGAAAATTGTCTCCAGCCAAAACTTTGGTTGGCGCACACAATTTTGCTGTCTTTCCCTTCCTACGAAAAATGCCATAACGGCAGGCCACCAAACCCTCAGGGTCTGTTTGCACTCTCAATGGAATTAAGTCCAGTTAGTAGAAAGCAGACCCTCTAAATCACTGAATAATTCAGAACGCTTCCGTTGGATTGCTCCTATGTTGGGAAAAGATGAAAATGGGGTTAGGGCAGAGGTGGCATTCAGCCGGTTTTCACTGGTTCTGGAGAACTGGTAGCGGAAATTTTTGAGTAGTTCGGAGAACCAGCAATAATACCCCCTCAGACTGGCCCAACAATCCCTATTCTCTATCCTCTGCCTCCCATTGAGTCCCAGCTGATCCGGTGGGTCTTCTTTGGTTGCCCTGCACAGAAGAACAGAGCTGGAAAGCAGGTTAGTG